TCCCCCCGGCCCGGCAGGTGAGTGCGCGGGAAGCCAGCGACACCGAAAATCCGGGGCCGGCCCGTTGCATGAGGCCCGGCACGGCAAAGGTTGGTTTTGGCCTATGCATTGCACCACGACTCTGTCCCGGCATTATCATGCAAAAAGGGTACCAGAGTCGTCCACGGCTAGTGTTTACCATACTTTCTCTTCGCATCTTTTTGTATATTTGATGCTTGGATGATAGGATCCTTGCTACATGTGTGTTTTATCTGTTTATAGATGGTTGTAATGCCTTAAATATTCTTGACCACTTCCAGAAACTACTCGATCAGATTTCCTAGATGCTGATAGCGTTTGGAATGAGTTTCGGATCCAAGTAGTCGTAAGGCTGAAAACGCTGCGTTTGGTTTTCACTTTCGATTTTGCTCGAAACAGCATCAAGATCCTCCTTGAACCTGTAAACGACATAGAAAAACACCATTTTTGAACAAACTCTAAAGGTTTATTCAACAGCTTGGGAATCCAGATACACTAAGGTAATGTCAAACCAAGCAGAACGATAACTAATTTCTCAATATCACCCCCTTTATTATAATAACCAGACACTTCATGGGCGAGAAAACATTTGTTCATTTCATAGTTTCACAATTGTCTTATTTGCATCATTTGCTTGATGATGATTTGCTTTGTTTGCTTTACGTAGTTATCTTTTGATAATTGACAGTGAATTGAGTGCCATCGCGTATTGGAAATAAATGTCGCAACAACAAAAATAAACACAAAATTAAACAGAAAACATTGGGTACCTTTGAACGACCTGCAGCACTTTGGGACTCTGTAGGTATGAAACCAAGAAGTCTCCCAGGGGCCTTGTTGCCCGCTCACTGAGGACGTCCGTCAACAGGTTGATCTCAACAGTTTTCTTCTTTCCGGGAAGTGCATTCAGGATGTCCTCTTCTGTCAGAGCATTCTGTGGAAAGGCCCATTCAATAATTTTCTTTTTTTTAGATGTGCCCTTCTACTGCTGTAGCTAATTGTAATCCGACCGATTGATGTCACATTGATAAATGTCTGTAGCCGTAATGACTGGTTTCTATAGTGACAGAATCCTGTGCTCCTATTGGACTGGTTTTCATAGAGCTAAAGAAACCTGAGCTGCTATTGTATTGGTACTTCTTATTTCTAGATCAGCCTCAATCTCATGTCTTAGAAGAGGGCGTCTAACAAGCCCCTGAAGTGAGATATTGTGTAACACAGACTATATGAGTGAATTACCTTATTTGCAGGTGGGTTCCCCTCCAACATGAGCGGCATGTTGGGTACGAAGCCGTACTGGTCCCACTGCATGAAGTTGACGGCAGCGTGCTGCACGCTACTGGTGAAGATGACGCACGTCACCGTTTGGATCAGCTGATCAAGGGTCGAGAAATGTCCATTCCCAGGAACTCCCTGTGTGTTATCAGATTCACTATGAAGTTCCCTCTAGGTTAGATTGTGTTGATACACTACATTATTCCCTACCATCCTTGATATAACCAAAGACCCGGCTGCTCAGGATATACTAAGTACATGTACGTCACTTTACGAAAGTGTCGCGCCGGTCACCGGTGGTTGGAAGTTTGTACCGACCCTCGTCTCTGTCCAAGAAGATTGGTGCGTCATTTAACTATTTAGATTTCTTTAGATTAAATCCCTTTTCCACAATCTGTGGTACCAACGTAGATGAATCTTTCTTATGTAGAGGTCATTTACGGAGAACGACAATAACATGACCAAAGCACTAAGCAAGATAAAAATGACTTACCTTGACAGTAATAGTATCATCCGATGAAGAAGCGAGGGCCCGTGCCCAGGCCTGGATCTCCTTGTCTTCCTTCAGCTTGGAGGAATTGTCTACGAGAAAAACGAAATGACACAAATTTCAATAATCTTGTTTATGTTTCCATCCGTAGCTTCACCAAAAACCATCTCCCGGTCTCTGGGGTAATAATGATATTAATAGACCATGTATACGACCAGTGGATTACCGGGGACACCGTAGTATACAGCATAAACATGACGTCATAACAGCGTACTCACTCCCATCATCGTAGAAAATCTTCACGACGCTGGTGACGTATTTGTGGATCACGTGATACGAACGTAAACCGTCGTCACGGTAGTGGTAGTTCGGCAGTGCTTTCTCATCGTCAACCTGAAAGTTTACAGAATCATACATATAGAGAGAGAGAGATAGTTGAGAGTGAACGGTTAAGTGAATCTAGTATTGGTGATGATGATTAAAATAGACATTGCATAGCTATAGCTATCATTACAATACAAACTAAAATGATGGAATATTATCAATAAAAGTCGTCATATTCTTGAGCCCCCTGCTCATACAATATACTAGGAGCAATAAAAACAACTAGGGTAACAACGTCTGTTGCCTTAGTTATGTTGATACAAACGACACAAAAGAAGTGAAGATGAAATCAACAATACGAGTAACACGAGGCTTTTGTGTGCAGATAAATTCAACAGTCAAAACCTGCCCTCACCCCTCGACTTTTCAGGTCTTCCAAAAGTGATCCATCCACATCAAGCCGCCATGTCTTCAGTCTGTAGCATTCATAAATTTAGAAAGAATATTTAGAAATTTAGAAGAAAAACATCAGTGTGACAGTTCATGAAAGACCAATTGTCAAACCAGCTACCAATCAAAATAACTATTTTTTGCTAACGCCTATATTCATTCATGTGCCCCGATGATGATATAGATATCTCCATTTATGACTTACTTTTCTTTGATAAGAGCGAAGGCGCCCTCCACGCCAATCTGCGTTACCAAATCCAGACCACCTCCTTTGTTGACCAGTGTCTCCAGCGCAAAACTACGCAACGACAAGAAAAGTACGAGTCAGCTCCGGTATCTTTGTTAGCAACACATGGATTAATTGGTTTTCAAAACACGTTCCACTGCAAAATTAAATACGTTGACATACCAATGTCTTCAATGCATTCGTGGCTACATATGAATCGTTTGTACTCATATTCATCCATACGATGACAAAATGCAAGAACATGTTATCTATGTTTAATCTGGCTTCTGACTATCTAAACGAGATTGGTGTGTTTCGGCTTTGATTGACTAATCAGTCTAGCAGTGTATCTCACTTATTGATAGCAAAAAGGTAGATGAAGTGCGGCTGCATCAGACGGAGAATCGGGTGGGCCGGCGCAAGGTTCTGAACGGCCGAAAGTGCTAGTGCTTCAACCAATAGATGGGTAAATCCTGTGAACACATGGAAACATGATACATTTATAGAAAAAGTTCTCCACATACAAAAATACAAAATACAACCGGGGTGGATGAACTGACGTGACGATGACGTAAGATTTGTCCACCATACTTGGTGGCTAAAACTTGTTATTAGGTGGACTTGATTTTGAATATAGGCCTGCAGCACTCTTCCTGGTTCAACCACTACACGCGCGAACTCTCTTATGCGTATCATTACCATTGTATCTTATAGTATCGAATTGTAAGGTGTAAAATTGATCTGACCAAGGTGAGGCACGGCCTCGTGGTAGTTCCCGTCTGCGCAGTTGAACCACATCTTTGCCATCAGCCAAGTGTAAGGCGGGTCGCTCGGCAGGAATACCTAGAGTTGGGCGGCATACATGTATACACGGTAAACGTCTTTAGTCATGTATACCCAGGATTCCGAGAAAACCACATATACTACGAGTCCCCATGGCAAAAATTACGCACTAGAAGGTCTCCGCGTCCTAAAGTACGGAGCTCCTCCTCAAAGTACACATTGGGATAAGCACCGCAGCTTATTCTGGATATGGGTGCTGCTGACCAGTTTGGGATACATGCACGTATCCAAAATGGGTAGTTTGCATATAATAGTCCCAAATATGACTTTGACTCGTCTGGGATAAAGAGCCGCCCAGGATGCAAAAGACTGAAGGATTGAGAGTTAATAAAAGACTCACGGGGTTCTGTTCTTGGTCGTTAGGATACAACTGGATTGCGACAGGAACCAGGTCACCATTGTCGTTAACAAAGAACAGTCCATAAGGAGCACACATCTGTGGGAAGAGTGGCACGTTTGGATATCACCAAAGTTCATAGATAGATAACGAATTTTTCTTACGTTTTGCGTGTATCACGCCGTTACGTTTGTATCGTGCATCATATTCCAATCGTAAAACCAAGAATTACACAAATATGATATTACTCGTTCAGCGATCGCTACTGTCAAGTGGAAAATGGACCTGAACCACCACTTACTGACCCTGTTACTTACTTTACTTTCCAGTTGAGTCTGAAACACAAGGAAGTTGGACTCACTGGTTTGCCGGCGTCCGCAAATGCTGCTGCCTTCATGATGGTGTGATCCACGATGTACAGACGCTTCTTTCGCATGGCTGCGTTCAGTTTCAGGCCTTGGAGGAAAGGTTCGACCATCTCCGACGTTACGCCAAAACTAGGAAAGAAGTGGTTGAGGAGACTGACAAGTGAACTACCTACTGACGAGTATCATCAGGACGAGTATCACCCTTCATCAAACTTCATCAACAAACAGCACAACACACTTTCCAAACTGTCTGGGAAAGAACGATTGATTTATTGATAAAGGTAGTTTGGGAAACATTTTGTAAAACCTACACCATCTCACTCCGAACGCAAATTGTGAACACTGTCATGGCGGTCAGTATCTGCCCTCTTCATTGAAATGGAAAGTTCATGAATACTCACGCCGCCGGTATCTCCTCGCACAGACGAATCGATGTGGGGTTGACGCCATTGAGACGCTGCGCGCCAAAATGCTCGTCGGTTCTCCAGTTGGCTTTTCCCTTGAGTTGAAAAAAAAACATTAATCATAAGTCTCTCAAATTCATTCAGATAAAAGTGTACACTTGGTGGATAGTGGCTTAAGGAAAGAAGATAGTTCGGCGACGTGATAAATGGGAGGCTCATATAACCGTTTCGCGAGACTGCATGAAGATATCCTCACTTTGGGGATTTTGCCTGCTTCGAACACCTCGTCGATACCGTCGAAAGTCTTCCACCGTCCAGCCTCAATGAGGATCGACAAATTCGTCACGGCCAGTGTGATCCCCGTCTTAGCCATAGCCGTCTGTAATTATGTCCACAAATTAAAAATCATATCAGATGATGAAACATTAGACTAGAGTGATCATAAGTTGCAGTGCTCTTTATCATACGTTCGTCTTTTTATGTAAGTTGCAAATAGCCTTCGGGAAACACTTTGTAGTTAGCTTACATGTGTATTAGGTAATCGACATATACACCTGACTAAATATGATACATCGATCACAGTATATATATATATATATATATATATATATATATATATATATATATATATATATACATTTACTATTTTGGACATACCTGTATGCATAAAGAACGTGTATGTATTCTTATATGTTATGTGTATGCATTGATATAACGTTAATAATTTAGAAACCTGTGTACGTTTACCTTTTGTCTGGTTGAAAACTCGTCCTCTGGTGGTAGTTTTCTCAACTAAATGCGTGAAACACGATGAAAAATTACTCAGGACAACATCAATGCTAAGTTCCTAGTGGTTTGTGATATCACTACCTAACTGATACAACCCCGGGGCTGCCGTTACAAATCGGATGGCATCCAGGCTAAACTGATACATCAGGTAGTTACGGCGCAATATTTTCTGCCTGTACAAGATGATATAAGGACATGTACTAAAACGCCGGAAGCCACGTCCTCTAACAACGCCCTAACGACTTAATGTATATACCCGCTGATGGTCATGTAATCAAATTCGTCTCTCTTATCAGTCAAATTTCTCCTTGGTCAAATCGCTAATTATGATTGACAGTTTGTAAAATCGTACCATTGGCAGCAGGCCCGGAGAAGGCGTGAATGACGCGTAACGTTTCTTCATCTCCTGCAGCTCCCTCTCACGGTTCTCTGCGTGTCGGTCGTACTGGGGCAGTACTGCACCGCCAGGGGGCACCCACACCCGTTCACCTGCAAGCAAGGAAACAGAGATTTCAAAGTAGATATAGTTTGCCTTAACGAATTATATCATAGAATGTGTTATTGCATTATTCCTTCATAATACCATGGTTTCTGTTTCATACAGCTGGCGATCACGTCCATAAACCGATGTCATGCCGGGTCAAAACCCTGTCAATCAAGTGAAACCCAAGCTCCGCCCACGCATGTCGGAACCCAAACATACAAATTCGCCACCTAAACCAGTGTCACCCATAATAATATATCCGTCCCTGTATTTTCGTAAAACATAAGGCGAGGTTCTGGAACAGAAGAATAAGCAAAAACAGAGGTTTGACCCCTGAAGCATCGGCCTAAAATCCCTCACAACGCTGCCGACCCTGGGATCGAACCACTGCCCTCAGATCCACAGAATTTGATCCACTGACCTGCTTTAATCCATCGGTCGACAGGGAACTCATCGGTTGGGCCGTTCTGGTCCGGCTGTAGCTTTACAGAGACGGACTGACAGAACCAGTTGTCATGTGGGGCGGCCCCGTCTCGCCACACCTCCAGGTCACGGATGGGGGGGAGGACTGCAATGTCATCCACATTGAACCTACAGTAAAGTAAAGCAGTCATGCACAACTGAGGTGAAACCAGGTGCATTTTCTAGTATCTAACACAGTGATGGATTACCCCTCGCCTACTTGGTATGTGTGATGGGTTCTTTTACATGCAGAGGTTTGACGCTTGAGTCTTCCTCATACACGGGAGCACCGACCTTATTTTTCAGGACTTAAATCAGAAACAACATTTTTAACTAGGCCTTACTTTTATGCCCTGAGTAATATACACATGTAGTTACTGAAAGGTCGGTTGAAAATATGATTACGCGTTGTGCTGAAAAGAAAGCCTAATCTACCAGGTGACTTTTTGAAAAGAAACTGTTCTTTTGTAGGCTTACATGGAACATTTATGTGTCTACAGCACAAACCTCTAGGATAATATGAAACAATTTTCGCATTTCCCATTATTAAAAATGACAATATGACACTTACTCCTGGTCACTGCCCCTTTCGAAGTCATCTTCCCAAAGCAAGTCGAGGCGGATATCACGTGATCTGTCTCCCTCGCTGTCAATCAGGGCAATGAAGATGTTTCCGTCCGTCCCCCCGCCCTGGTAGTTCCCCGTCTTCACTGTCACAAGCGCCGAGGTCGCGCGACTCTGTGTGTGGAGAAAAGGAGGCACAACTAAAGATTCCACACAGGAAGCGTGATCTGGCTGAATATTTCATAACACTGTAAAACTTTCCGAATCCCGACTTATTATATAATTCGAGTTTTCTGATTCTAACACCGAGGAATTTTGCATCCTAAAAAGGATACAATAGCATATGATGTATCCCACCTCTGAAGCCACCTTGCTCCGCGGCCGTGAACACTGTACACCCATGGTTGATAGCTCTACTGCTAGGCTGGTCGGACGGTCAACTTGGTCCTGTGTAACAACAAATAATACCAATGGCTAGTACATTAAGGGCATCCTCACTTGATAGCTTTGAACAACGCTTACAGTTAGATGTGCAAAGTAGTGTGATATAACCAGCTGCCGGTAAACATAACTATAAAGATCCAGATACAAAAATGTTGCGTAGCCCTGCTAAATCACCGCTGCCAGGATCTCCCCATGCACACCCTCAAACAGCAGTGGGGCGAGATCCCGGTTGAGATGTTTCGAGATCTGACGTTTAATGTCAAAATATGCTTGATTTTTGTAATGTGGAATTTTAAAAACAACAAGTGTCCATAGGCAACAATTCTCCGTGAAGTTTTATACTTTGCAAATACATATGATCAACAACACGACAATCTAAGCAGATGAACAAAGTTATCTTTCATAACAATATCTTTCATTTACTACATATTATCTATTTGATAAGGTATCGTAGTATGTGCAAACCAGTCACAATTACAGTCACAAACAAGTCACATTCGAAACAGATACTCGCAAATGATTATACACAACAACCACCCAATATCTGCTTATAAAACCTCGCCTGCCACACAGGTACGACATATTCCACAGGATTATGGAAATAGGGGCGTTTCTGAAATATGAATTTACCTCAATATAAAACTCCTACGGTAAATTCTCGCCCGCTATTCAAAACAACGATTTTTTACGACCAGTCCCATGGGCCTCTTGAATTCAGGGATGATTTTGAATATTACATTGACCACGAAAACAGCTACGGTAAAAATAAAAAATACGTGAATCACCACGGGCATACCTGCAGACCACGTATAACAAGGGGAACCCTGTGTTTTAGCTACGAACGCGAAAAACCGACTGACCACAATACTCCTGCAGGAGGGATTCCTTACTCTCCAAGCAGAGGTTTGGGTTTTGGGGGTATTTTTAGTGTGTTTTTAGGCTTTTTTTATCGGGGTTTCTCTTTTGCACTGAATTTTTTTTCCGGGTTTGGTGGGAAAAAAAATTCAGT